GTTCAGGGGTGGGGCTGGGACAGGCATCTGCCTCAAGTACCTTGGGAGGCTTTGGCTGCCTGAGAGGTCCCACCGCCATGTGTTTGGGGGTGGGGTCTCAGTGGCTCCTCGGCAGGCTAGGATGAGAAGCCAGGAGGGTGAATGTGGAGGTGAGGTGGCTGAGGGTCCACTCCATGCACACAGCCATGCACTCTATGCAGATGTTATGGAGAAACACATAGCCACATGCTGGTGCTACAGATGTTCCCACGGGGCCTTCTTTTGCTTCTGGTCAGCCTGGCACCCCTTGCGGTCAGCAGCCTGCTCCCAGCACTCCTCATTGAACCCTTGGATGAGGGACTGGAGGCAGATCATCTGGTCCCTCAGCTGGTCCTCCCTGGTGTGCTTTCTGTGGTGAATCCCCTGGAGTCAGGTAGATGGCATGAGAGGTGGTAGACATGCCACGCTCACAGCTGGCCCATCTGTGAAGAAAAGTTATAAAGGCAGTCATACCAGGAGACACTGTGTATGAAGCCTAGCCTTAATCTCTGCGCTGACACCAAAGGTCTTGGTTCAGACGATGGCGGTGTGCTTCTAGGCAGGCCATCTGTTGCCTAGACAGTGGGCACTTTCCTGCAGGGGCATGGACATCCCACGGGAGCATCACTACACCCACATTCTGGAGACAAGCAGGCATAGAAACGTGCAAGCCAGGCCTTGTGGAGGCTGACGTCAAGCATGTCCCGGCTGGAGTTGATAATTGCAGGGGGGTGTGACCGGCTCCCCTCCCAGGATGGCATCGCGTGAGGAGCCGCCTCAGAGCGTGCACTTTTCTCCCTGGCCTTTGGGTAGGCCTGCCAGAGTTCTTTGATTTTCATGTAGACCTGGTCGAGGGTCCATGTGTGTCCTTTTTCTGCTAGGCTGGCGGCCATACAGGTTGGCATTCCTTTTCTTGGAGATTGAAGTCCAGGATCTCTGTACCAAGCCCAAGCCAGTGCCCTCTTTCATCCCTGGCCAGAAGCATCAGAGGGTGCTGAGGGAGTGCTGGCAACCGTGGGGAGGTGTGTGCAGAGGGAGCGCTGGGGTCGGTCATGGTTCCCACGAAGGGTGCTGTGTGGCACGGGGCTAGCAGGGCTGTTCTGATGCCACAAGCCCTTTCCCTTCTGCCTACAGCTTTAAACTCTGTAGGAGAAAGGGAGAAGAATCATTGGAGTTGTCAGGGCTGTGGACAGAGCATTTGCAAGTGCCGCTGTGAGAGGCCTCTGGAGGCCAATTATTTCAAAATAGCAGCAGCTGAGCATCCACACTGTCACTATTTCTAAATAACAATTTCGAAATAAGTGTTATTCCTCATGCAAAACAGGAGTTATTATTTTAAAATAACCGGCCCTTTATTTTGAAATAACAGGCTTGATACTGTGAACTCTCCGCTTGTTATTTTTAATTAAGGAGAGTTATTTTGAAATAATTCCCTAGTATAGACCAGGGCTAAACGGCACAAGTCCTAGTTCTGATTGTCCAATTTTACATTTTTCATTTCCCAGGCTGCTAATTAAATTGCCAGAGCTGAACTACCAGATCAGAGTGAAAGCAACTATTGACAAGTAAGTAACCACATTATATAGCTAAGGCTCAACGTCTGTGTTGTTGCTTTATGTGGTTTGAAAGTTGTAGTGTTTTTAAAATACAAGACTTATTGTAGTGCTAAAGAGATTTATTCGAGTCAATAACTGATGAAAGATTTTCTTTTGTTTAAAAAGGCTTACTTTTTTATCTGATATTTTAAAATTTGTGGCAGCATTTCCAGTGAAGAATTTTAACAGGAGCAGTATGAAACACAATGGTCTTGTCTGGCGGCAGCAGCATAGTCATGCTTACCTGTTTTCAGCTTTGAGTCTAATAGGATTGTGCCCCTGAGTTCTGTGTGTACAAAGACCAAAAAACTTGAAAGGGAATATAAAACAATTTTGACTGTTTTTGGGTAGAAACTGTAAGTTATCTCAGGTTCACTAAAAGGTTCTCAAACCAATTAAACCTGGGTTGAGGTTTGACTTATTTCACATCTGTTTTCGCTCATCTGCCCCTTTATTCTTGATGAAATCAGGTTGAATTAATTTGTAATCACAAAACAAATAACTACTATAGCCCAGATCCTTGAAGAGAGTGGCAGCTTCAGGGTTTCTGCTGGCTGTTCTCAACAGAAACTTAGACCTATCCACATTTCAACTTCTAACAGAATGATTTTAACATCATAACTAGCTCTAAAAGGTAGTTTGTCATAACACCACAAAATCCCAGATCCTGCTAACATTTACATATCTCTTTAACTTCATTTTTGCGAACAGTTCCATTGATTTCAATTGGACTATTCAGGGTAGTAAAGATTAGCATGTTCTTGGAGGACTGGTGCTATAATTAATAACTATGGAAGCTTGGAGTGTTCCACCTCTGTCAGAGACTTAAACTGGGTAGTTTGTCATAACACCACAAAATCCCAGATCCTGCTAACATTTACATATCTCTTTAACTTCATTTTTGCGAACAGTTCCATTGATTTCAATTGGACTATTCAGGGTAGTAAAGATTAGCATGTTCTTGGAGGACTGGTGCTATAATTAATAACTATGGAAGCTTGGAGTGTTCCACCTCTGTCAGAGACTTAAACTGGCGTACAGCAGTCTTCCCTCATTCTTCATGTTTCTTTTTACAATGTGAACAGAACATCCAAGCTGATTTGGTCAGTCTTCCTTCCTTGCAGGCCATAGGATATCTCAGAGTACATTGCCTTACATGCTGATGGTGTGCGCATGTCCTCCATCATACTGTGCCTCCTGTATACAGATGCCTGTATTTTCCCGGAATGCATTGATGAAAACATACTTAGGCAAAGTGAGAGCTTTGGATATGCACATATGGTTCTGATGGCAGAGAAAAAATCTGTGTAGGCATATAGTAAATCATATTATTTGTAACTACCCATGTGTCTCTAAGTGTATGTCTACACTGCCACCCTAGCTCGAACTAGGATGGCTAATGTAGGCATTTGAACTTGCAAATGAAGCCCGGGATTTAAATATCCCGGGCTTCATTTGCATGTTCCCGGGCGCCGCCATTTTTAAATGCCCTGTAGTTCGAACTACCTAGTTCAAACTAGCTGCCCACGGCTACACGCAGCACGGACTAGGTAGTTTGAATTAAAGCTCCTAATTCGAACTACCGTTAAGAGGTTTAACGGTAGTTCGAATTAGGAGCTTTAATTCAAACTACCTAGTCCGTGCTGCGTGTAGCCGTGGGCAGCTAGTTTGAACTACGGGGCATTTAAAAATTGCGGTGCCCGGGAACATGCAAATGAAGCCCGGGATATTTAAATCCCGGGCTTCATTTGCAAGTTCGAATGCCTACATTAGCCACCCTAGTTCTAGCTAGGGTGGTAGTGTAGACAGACCCTCAGTGATTACAGAACAGAAGTCACAGCTCTATTTGTAATGTGGACAGGCCCTTAAAAGCCCAGGTATAATTTAATCTGCTCCTTTTTAAAAAGGTGCTATTTAGTTTCAGTGTATACTCTATATATTCTTTGTTAAGGATATATTTTCTCTCTTTCTTTTTTTAAGGAATGTGTCAACAGTAAGGTAAGGCTTTAAAAGTATGAGAATTCTTAATTTTTTACACATTTTCCTGCCACTGTGTACATTGTAGTACTGTGTTTTCTAGTAATCGCAGATTTGTTCTATGCGGCACTCATGTCAAAGCTATGAATATGGATGAATCTGCAAATGGAAGTCTGTCTGTAGAATTTCGACATTTGGTAAGTTTGCCACATACTGTTTTTATCATGTGACATTGGTAAAGCAATCACAGAATTTTTTTAAGCTGAACAAGGAAATTCATTAGAACAAGGAGAACTATCATTCCTACAACTGTCGTTCTCTCTGCCTCACTATAAAACAGTGTTTCTCAAACTTTTTGGCCTGCATCTCACCCCACTCAACACAGACCTTTCTGCGGATGACCAACCAACCTCCCATAATGACAAAATGGGTCCAGGAGTGGGCTAGAGATGGATAATCTGTCCATGAGGTTGGGCGCAAGAGTGGGAGTCCGGGTGGTAGGTAAAGTACAAAAGTGGACTGAAGGTGGGGGAGTCTGTGTGGGGGGCTGGGTGCAGGAGCAGGGTAGGGGTCTGTAGTCTTAGAAAGATGGGTATGTGAGAGAGGGATGAGGGTGTGGGATGCTTACCTGGCTCCATGTCTCCTGCTGCTTCTAGGTACCACCCCTCACTGCTGCCATTGGCCATGATTCCGGCCAATAGAAGCAGCAGGGAAAGCTTCCAGGCAAGTGGTTTTCTGCACTGCCATTCCTGCAGATGGGGGTGGGGGAACGGCAACACATGGAGCCACTTCCTTCCTCCTCAAGCCAAATCTGGTGAGGCTCCACCCCTTCCCTCTCCCCCCGCAGTGGGAAGCTGGCACTGATGCTCCAGCTTCAGGGGGCCACAGATCTGGAGCGCTAGCACAGGTTCCCCTCTGCAGGGCCTGGGGGAGCAAGTCCCAAACCCATGACCCACTTGCAAGATAGTTGTGGGCCACGCTTTGAGAACCCCTTCTGAAAAGCTTCTACCTAGAACTTTTTACAGTTCCGTCATGCCCCACTTCTTGCTGAGTTTTAAAGAAACAGCACACCCAGAATAAAAACAAATCGTTTTAGGCTCTCTATCAAATATATGCTATACAATGTCACTATTAAGTCTACACAAGATTAGGTATCATGTACTTTCTACTCTACCAACCAGATCTCATCTGTGTCTAGAACTCTAGATTTTTAATTGGACTTCATATGATTTGTAGCTTTTGAGTTTCCACATTTGCAGTTGATAATTATTTTGAATTTTCTTGAATGAACAAACGAACTGACCAAATAGAAGAAAATTAAATAAAGGAAAAGGGATGTTTGAAACATTTTGAAAGAAAAATAAATGTAAAAAAATAGTTTTGTTAAAATCAACATTAATTCTGGGTCTCTCGTATCCCCATTCTCCTGATTGGTTCTGCTGCCTAACTGAATTGCATCTCCAATGATGTGCTGTGGTCTCTTTCTGTGGCTTAACCATGGTAGGGCATAATAAAAATCCTGCAGCAATGGAGTCTGCCATTAGAATGCATGTCTTCACTTTTTGCATTCTTGTGTAGTTAGTTTTTTATTATGAATTTAGCTTTATTGAAATGTTATGAGCTAATTGTGCTTAAAAAACCTTTTCTTTAAAATGAATAATTACTCACTGAACAGATTTATCAAGGAAATTCACCAGAGCCTTAACTATAGATGTTCAATGTAAATGGTGTATTTATCACAGAATTACGCAGTGTCGTTAATTTATGTAAAGGCAAATTTTTATTCCAAAAGCCATGTAATGGCACAAGACAATTACTTGCTATTTTGAGATCCTGGAAAAAGTCCTGTGTTAGTTTCTGAAGGATACACGGCGCAAATACACAATTACTATACATCTATGTTAATAAAACTACTATAGTGAATACTGCTTGTAAATATTTTGGTCTATAATTTCCTGAATATAAGTCTTAATTTCTATTTTACAGCAACCCAAAGAAATGAAATCAAGTGCTGGAAACAAAGGAAATGAGGTATAAAGTTTTGTAAATTTTTTATGACTTTTAAATAAAAAGTATTTTAGAATGGATTTCAGCTAATACCATTTGTAATCTCATTTGCTAATCTCCCCTGTTACCTTTTGACTTAAACACAGTCATGATAAACTGAACAGTTGACAGTTATTTATAACATAATAAAAATACATGAGAATTTTCAGAAATAAATTTCTTAGAAGTATGAATTAAAACCCTTAGTTTTATACAACAAAAATGGTTGTTATAGCAGGATATGCATATCCAAATGTGTATTTCTTCTTAATGGGAATTAATTTAAATTGGGTCCAACGTTTACATTTTGTAAAAACAAGGTTTTAACAAAACCACAATAAGAGAAATGTTTCCACAAATTTTGTTTTATACCCAATTAGAACAGTTCATTAAACTGGTAAACTGAAGGCTAAGTTCACAACTGGAATAAGGGTGTAATTTTATTTAAATCAATAGAGTTTTGTCTTCCTCAGTCAGGACTGGTTTCAGAGGTAGTCTGTTTCAGCAAAAACAATATAGAATCCAGTGGCACCATAAAGACTAAAAATGTTATTATGGCATAAGCTTTCGTGAGTTGCAACTCACTTTGTCAGATGCAGTTCTGTCCCACTTTGGTAGTATTTATCAGAACCTGGTCTTAGTACACCCCCTTGTGGTTACTATATGAGACTTCAGATTTACAGAATAACTAACAGTGGATGCCCTCTGACATTTGGAGCTATGTCGAGACTACAGAGTTTTTCCGGGAA